GGACATGTAATAATGTTTTTGTCCCTTGCTGAGGTAGATCTTTCTTTTAAATCTCTGGAATTAAAGTTTTGTTTCAAGGAGTTCAAACTTATTTGTTTGATGAATACTAATTTTCGACTCAACAGTTTCATTGCTGTTGTTAAACTTTTAAAATAGAACTCGTAGACTCAATTTCATATCAGAGTCCAAAGCTCTGATCCATCAAAGAAGTTCAAACGAACAGTCGAATTCCAATATTAGTTTCCTCAAATGAACAACTATAAAGATATTCCAACATGGTATTTATCACGAGCAACCGCAGCTTGTTTGATCGAGGATCATTAAACATGAAAATAGGAATGAAGATAAAAGTGACTTAGATGTCTCTATTTCTACGAAACACTAATTTATTGATGCCTCTCGAGTTTTATCTAACTTTTTTGTGCCTGAGCTTGTTGGTTTGCCTTTTCAAATTAAGCACAAACTCCATGATATGACTAATTACTTTAGGCTTCATATTTTGACATGAAACGAGTTTTGATCTAATTCACAACTTCATTTTCCATTACTGATTGCAGGAAGGAAGACAAGTCCATGTGATAGAAAGAGACTTGTCTGAGCCAGATCGAATTGTAGGTGAACTTTTACAACCAGGAGGCTATTTGAAATTAATTGAGTTAGGTCTTGAAGGTGAGTAATACAGTTGCTAACATTTAGGGTGTGTTTGATTGACATGGAAAATATTACCTAGAAAAGAAAATATTTTCCATCTTTTGTGGAAAATAAAAACCACATCTACCCAAGGAAAATATTTTCCTTAAAAACAAGGAAAATTAGGCATATTTTCAAAAGTTGGAAAATGTTTTCCATGGAAAAAATAGCAATCAAACACTCAAAGTGAAAATTTGGATGGAAAACTGATATTTTCCATGGAAAATAAATGTAATCAAACACACCCTTAATTTTGTTGTTTATTCTTTCATCTTTGGTTAGATGTTGATTTAAGTAAATTATGGTGATTGCAGATTGTTTGGATGCCATTGATGCTCAACGAGTTTTTGGTTACGCCCTTTTCAAGGATGGTAAAAATACTAGACTGTCTTACCCTCTTGAGAAGTTTCACTCAGATGTTTCAGGACGAAGTTTTCATAATGGCCGTTTCATACAAAGAATGAGAGAAAAGGCTGCAACTCTTCCAAAGTACGCTTTTTTTTACTTCACAATTTAAATGTCGAAGTTTTTACTCCATAGGTACCTTAACAGGTGCTGTTACATTAGTCTGTTTCAATAATGCCGGGTATCAGTGAAAATTATTGGAGATTGAGATTTTCTACTGATGTTACCTCTGTTGTTTTCTGGCTCAGTGTAAGATTGGAACAAGGGACAGTAACATCCCTGGTTGAAGAAAATGGAGCTGTAAAAGGAGTCCAATACAAGACTAAAAACGGCCAAGAAATGATGGCGTATGCTCCTCTCACCATTGTGTGTGACGGCTGTTTTTCTAACTTAAGACGCTCTCTTTGTACTCCCAAGGTGAATACGACTCATTGTGCTAAATTCTCGTGTTTACAAATTTCATTTCATCAATTTTCTCTCCTCTAAAACGAAGTCTTTATATGATGTAGGTGGACATCCCTTCGTGTTTTGTTGGTTTGATCCTGGAAAACTGCGATCTCCCAAGTGCAAATCATGGACACGTTGTTCTGGCCGACCCTTCCCCTATCTTACTTTATCAAATCAGTAGCACAGAAGTTCGTTGCCTGGTCGATGTCCCTGGACAAAAAGTGCCTTCCATTGCTAATGGAGAAATGGCCAATTATTTGAAGACTACGGTGGCTCCACAGGTACTCCTAATTCGTTTAACACGTTTCAGACGTTAATTTCTATTCTGCATAATGCGCATTTCAACTGACTGATAAATATATGTTTCAGATTCCTCCTCAGCTCTATGATGCATTTATTGCTGCAATTGATAAAGGAAATATACGAACAATGCCAAATAGAAGCATGCCGGCAAATCCTCAGCCCACCCCGGGTGCCCTTCTACTGGGGGATGCATTCAATATGCGACACCCTTTAACTGGTGGAGGAATGACTGTGGCTCTTTCAGATATTGTTGTGCTTCGAGATCTTCTTAGACCTATCCGTGACCTAAATGATGCATCTACCCTTTGCAAGTATCTTGAATCTTTCTATACCATTAGAAAGGTGAGTTGTAGATTGAACATCGAGAAGAGGTTGAGTGGAATATAGTTTTAATTTCAATGACTTGAGAAATTGAACGTTCTTTTGCAGCCTGTGGCATCTACGATAAATACATTGGCAGGTGCACTTTATAAGGTTTTTTGTGCATCACCTGATCAAGCAAGGAAGGAAATGCGACAAGCATGTTTTGATTACTTGAGCCTTGGGGGCATTTTCTCTAATGGTCCCGTGGCTTTACTTTCTGGCTTGAATCCTCGCCCTCTGAGCCTCGTATGCCACTTTTTTGCCGTGGCTGTCTATGGTGTTGGGCGCTTATTGCTCCCATTTCCTTCCCCCAGAAGAGTTTGGTTAGGAGCTAGACTGCTTTCTGTGAGTATCTTGACTCATTTTCATTTTATCTTCAACCCTGCTACACGTACAGAGAGAATTGCCAGATTGCATTACATGGGGACAAATGGCTCGCATTTATTGGACCTTGGACAAAATACAATTTTATCCCAAGCAGTGCATGGATGATGCCACCTGTCTCGCTGGCAATCTCTCCCGTACAGGGGACTTAACTCTTCTGTTTTTAGTAGTATGATACACATTCTGACCACTTATGTTTCTTATTTACAGGGCGCATCTGGAATTATTTTCCCTATTATAAGGGCAGAGGGCGTGAGACAAATGTTCTTCCCTGCTACCATTCCGGCCTACTACCGGGCTCCCCCTGTTAACTAATAGAATCATTCTACCCTGCCGTTCATTATTTGTAATCTTTCTGCGGAAAGTAAGGCGAAAGCCTACAGTTTGTAAAGCCCTTTTTTTTTTTTTTTTTTTTTTTTTT